CTTGAACTCTTCCAACCATATTAAACATCATACATGTCATGAACCCCTCCACAACTCATTAGACCCAAGTATAGGCCTTGGCCCAGTTCATGCAAATCTATTCTTAAATGACAAATTTAGACTGCAGACAGGACGACTCGAACACCAGTTGTGAGTCATCTAAGCCACATGCATCATAATTATTTTAATAACTAAAATTACTAACATTAAAATGAAGCTGAATTAAAATAGACGGAGATGCTGGTGTTTGTTGGAGGACAGGTCATGATCTATTTTGAGAATGGTATGAAATGAGGGAACGAGATCATAGTCTTGTAAATAAATAGAAGGCTTTCAGACATGTCTCTGCTCGTTACTTTAAGATTTTCATTTGTATCTAGCTCTGAGTTCAGTTTGAATAAAACGCCACTTTAAGACCGTCACAGAACGTAATTAAAAGATTTGATATGTCTAGTGGCCTAGCCCGTGAGTGTTTTGGCGAGACATTTTTGAAGCAGTGTTCAAGGGAAGGTTAAAGGTGAAGTTCCAAGGAATGAATTCTTAACAAATCTGAGACAGTCACAGCTAGATTATCATCCAGGTTATTTCGCCATCTTGGAACAATTCTGTAAAGGCTATGGTTGGAGTCAGGGCTGGATCTTTTTTTTTGAATCAGAATTTAATTCATATGTAGCTATCTAGCTATGACTTTCCTCACTGTCTACAAGAAAATATTGGGAATTAAAATGGATGAATTTATTGAAATTTGTCAGGCACCTTCATGTAGGAACTAGAAGTCCTCCATAGTCATAGACTCGGTTAGGACTATAATAAAATCTAATCTAATCTAATCTAGCTATGACATAATATCAAAAAAGTGTATAGTAGATGACTCAATTTATAAGAAGAGCACTTGTGCCTCGGATTTCATTTGCAAGTACTACTGCAAAGTTATGCCGGCTTTTTCTTCACCCCAAGTCAACTCTCATCTGTGAATACTCACCCGGGAGAACGTCTTAAAAATCCTGAGTTATCCAGACATGCCTCCATCATTCATCAACTTTTCTCTGCGCGAAATATAATCTGAGATGTCTCCTTGCCAAGTGGAGTAGGTGCCCAGGCTACTCAAACTATACCAGAGAACACCACCAGGAGGCGGACCACGACACATTCCATCGTCTGCTAGTGTTTATAGTGTCAGCTGCACTTTGGCAATCGAAGGCTTGGTGCGCACAAAGTTCAGTTCGTAAAATTCCTTGCCAAAATTCGAAATTTCACGCTTGTCAAGACTGTATCCATCCTTCGCATCATCTTGTGAACTTGTCCTGATCCCTCTCACGTTTATCGCAAAGAACTGTCTCCCAGATTTGTGCGCCACGCTTTGCTTCCTCCGTCGGATGTAAATGTCGGCATCGACGTGTATTGGTGAGCAGCTAGGGCAAGAGAAAGTCGACGAGAGGTGTGGCCATTAGGATGAGGATGAATTAGGTCGTACTTGTAGACTTGATGGATGTTGTTAAAACACGAAGTAATACAAATTGGGTGCCGTCACGAAGTCAGCTGTCTGTCACGAAGTCGGTGAATAATCTCAATTAACTGGTATCTCAAAATACATAAAACGTTGTCTCTTCCTTTTCCCTCTCCATCTCCCCTTCCTTCCTCTACTCCAAGCGCCTTGCTAATGAGCTAAACCAGGCCCCTTTCAGTGTCCAAACAACAACTTGAATACCGCAAATACATAGAACAATTCACACTACCCAAATATGATCCTTTTACCGACAATGAAACTTGTGGAGGATTTGATCTCTTTGGGAGCGAGAAAACGCCGTGGCGAAGTAATTTGAATTTTTGCCTTGTGGGCCAACTTCTTTGATATTGCGAAATTCGACTGAACTTGGCTTGTAGAGGACACCGCTTATAGTTGTTCAGTCTTGCCCTCCACTGTATCAAATATAGATAGCCGCATATGCAATTAAAATCTGATGTAAAAAAATGGCTCGGTTAATTTACTCAGGTAGTTACCGACAAATTCCTTGGCACACCTAAATAACATCACTAATTGTCATGTAGAGACATGATTCATTCATGAGTTGATATTGTTCAGACAATCATGACTATATCACAACGTCATGTACAGGCACAATTCATTGTTTGTACCTGTTGTATCAGCCATGACTATGTCTCAGTGATATGAGAAACATCATTGACTAGTTACTAGAAACCTAATCAAGATCCTAAACACACAACTGAGACTACGAGAATTTTACTGAGTAAGTAATTATTCTGATGAATCTAGATCTAGAGGAACATAATCTGGTTGCTTGTCTCGAGGTATATGAACCTGAGCATATCATGTATTATAAACTATATAGAAATCTATCTCAATCGCAATCATCATATTAATTCATGTCACCATCAATAGCTGCAAAGGACAGTTTAACCATTTCCTTATACTAATCTACTGTCAAGTGAAAGGTTGAATTTCACGCGCTTGGCAACAAATATGGACCCCTAGATTTTCTAATTATAGAAATGAGGTAAGGTAAAATTGTGTGTCATAGTAGGAGTAATTGACAACTCCACAACAAATTAGCAACTCTCCTATTTTCCTACTTGCTTCACCAAGTGAAATTATCTGTGTTTAGCACCCACATGCTATTGCAAACTTCTCTGCTTGACAAAATTAACAATTATCCTCTGATTTCTACTACAGTCTCGTCTCACCTAAAGATAGATCTCAACTGCTCATCAGATTTATCAACCACCACTTCAAGTATATCTCCATCTGTTGGATAGACTATGGTATGGTTTCACGATCGATTGTAATGATTCAGTAAAGAGTTGTACGATTCTGTGTTTGTCTACGTCACAGATCAACTATAGAAAGCAGGGAGCATTTGTATGGATGATGATATATTAACAACTCAACTATGTAGAACTCAGCTATAGATACTTAGCCAGGTATTTATACAGATTACTTCACTCCAAGCCCTTCCAACTAAGTTCAGTTCATTTCTAGATAATTCCATTTGCGAATCTGAGAATATGGTTCCTAGTAGCTTCGACAATGGTTCTGGTATGTTCTGCAAGGCTATTGCGTCGGCCCACCCCCCGGTGGTTATACGCCTGTACTTGCCAGTACTGGCTACAGGAAATATTGGCTTTGTAGCTGTTACAGTCTTAAATGTTCATAATTGTCTTCTCTACTACGCTATACAGGATTCACAGCTTTACTGTGGTGTCAAGATGTCGAGAGTTCAATGAGCCGAGAGTTCGATAAATTAATTTTCTGAGATGTCAGAAGGTCAAGATGTCAAAAGATCAAAATGTCAAAAGGTCAAGATGTACACAAATTCAATATTGTCAAAAGGTTCCTAAGAATACAAGACCATAATCTGCCTGTCAGGAACTGAGGATAGAGCAGCACCCTCATATTCTTTCCCTACACTACATCTGAATATTCTCTCATCTTAGAGCGTTTACCGGGTTACAATGGTTGCTATGGGTTACAAATGAAGTAATAGAATAGCAGCAGGCGCACCCCTTGAAGCCTTAGTTGCTCTGGTTACTATGATGTATCTATAAGGGTTGTGTAGAGCTGATGTAGAGGGCCACGTCTTGTTTTCCGTCTTCCATTGACCTTGTCTCTTATCCTAGTTTCTCTTGTCCCTTGTCCTCAGTTATAGTTAGAATCCCGAATTAATACCTTAGTCTATGACAAATCTTGTCAGATATCACTCGCACTTCTAAGTTATCCATCAAACACAACCCCTGGTACCCTCGAGTTTGACACTGCCGAACTAAAGTTATCCCTATTACCCATTATATATTCCTCTCTATTGTTCTCGAACTTTCCAGTATACCCTCATACAGAATAGAATAGTCTAGACAAGTACAGATCAGAACAGAATAGATTAGAATGGAATGGAGTAAGATAGGATAGAACAGAACAGAAAAAATTAGGATAGAATATGGCAGAATACTACAGATATCTTCATACAGAGCTCCTATTGACCCAGAATAGGCTCTTGGTCCGTGACATGTGGATCCTGGCTAGCGCATCCATGCTAAAGTCATCATGTGATCCCCACATGATGACAAATCAACTTTTATGTTTTAGATCAATTGACACTGGCAACTTTTCTGTTAGTGATGACACTCTATTCATGATCTTCTCATCCTCCTCATCCTCCTCATGAACAAGATAAAACTTCAAACAAATATGATGACAAAGAAAGGACAAAAGAAACGTAATACTATGGACCCTCATCCCCTTTACATCACCTCTGCACAAAACCTTCCACATGAATCAAAAGGTCATTGAAGTAGATCAAGCTTTTCAATGCTTTGGTTGGCGTAACCTTTTGTGACGGCTTGTAAGCCGGTAATTGCCTGTAGCCTGCGCTGTCTAACGCAGGCTTAGCATGAAACAAGGAGGGCCTTATAAGTGGCAATAATAATACTGTAACACGTCCGGGGATGGGGCATGAGAATGTGATACGAGTAGGGGATATGAGTAGGGACTACGAGTAAGGAATACGGATATACGGATAGAAATCTGTGTCATTGGCTGGGATAATAATCATGTATAAAGTAATTATTATTATCCTCTTCAATCTGTAGTTCACCATAGATTGAAATTAAAACTACCTCTGACCACAAGGTTGCCCAAGTGCCTATGCTTAGACTGTGACACCTTTGTAATGGAGTCTGCGGGAATGTCCCCACCACTAATCCATGGAATTCTTGTGAAATGTTTTTGCTTGTATGGCTAGCGAAGCGCCACGATACCAAATTTGAGTTGTTTCTCTTTGGTCAAGTTGAAAGTGCTCATCTTGGTAATTATAACTATGATAGCTTCACATTTGGCCTCCCATGGAATATTGGCTAGCAAGCTTCTATCCATCAAACTAAACTAGAAAGACTGAAATACTATGGGCGGTAGGATTGGTGCCATTGACTTCACATTGTGAGATAATTTGATTCCTAATTTGATGCTGTTCGTGTTCAGTATGCTTAGTTTACCAACAGTTATATTTTCTGCAGTTATAGCACTTCTTTTTCCACGGTTGACGTTTCTTCTGGAGGTTAAATCTATCACCGTCATGGCTCTGGTCCTTTCCACGAAAGTAGGAGTCTTGGTGATGTCTTTCAAGATAGTACTGCTTCAAAGACCGTGCTAGGGATCTATCCATGGCTAGCTGGTATGCAAGTACGTGATTTATGATTGATGATTGTATGTTTGCGACCAGTTCTTCTAGGTTATCCATAGCCTTATTGATAGCTGGTGCATGTTCAGAGGCGTGTCTGCAGGCCCCCATTAGCTGGTCATAGAGTTTATCCTTAACTTCAGATGAAGTTTCCATTGCCCACTGGCAAAGGCTTGGCCTATCAAACAGTTTACCAAGAACTTCCCTTAAACCCTTATCAGGGTTCTCAATCATTTGAGTGTAGTACAACAATGCCCGGTCCCCATGCGTTCGATTAAAGGCTGCATACAACTGCGAGTGATGGATCTCGAGCGATTCACATGCTTTTAGGAACTGATGTACGTTACTGTCGAACATGTCATACATTAAGCCACGAGATTTAATTCCTTGTTCCAATGCTTAGAATTATTGATAACTACTGATGGTTCAAGTTTCTCGTTTGGCTCGTTGCGAGGAGGGAGATCAGTATAAGGGTCATGTCGGAAATCTTGGAAGACTGGTGGTTTCTCATCACGAGGCACAGAAGGGTAGACTGAGCTAGTACAGGATCGGAAAAGTCTTGGCTGAGGATCAGTTTGTTGTCCTTCAAGAGCTGGTGGATAGCTTGGCTCACGCTGTTCATACTTTCCATTATGATTATCTAGAGTAAGGTATGAGACTCTTGGGCTGCAGCCTATTGTATCTAGTAGCGTGCAGGTTGTCCTTGATGGGGTTGTCGTTGCTTGAGAGTTTGTTATAAGGAAATGGTAAAACTGTCCTTTGCAGCTATTGATGGTGACATGAATTAAGATGATGATTGCGATTGAGATAGATTTCTATATAGTTTATAAGACATGATATGCTCAGGTTCATATACCTCGAGACAAGCAACCAGATTATGTTCCTCTAGATCTAGATTCATCAGAATAATTACTTACTCAGTAAAATTCTCGTAGTCTCAGTTGTGTGTTTAGGATCTTGATTAGGTTTCTAGTAACTAGTCAATGATGTTGTAACGGCTAAGAAGCCGGTATTTTCCTGTAGCCAGTAATGGCAAGTACAGGCGTATAACCACCGGGGGGTGGGCCGACGCAATAGCCTTGCAGAACATACCAGAACCATTGTCGAAGCTACTAGGAACCATATTCTCAGATTCGCAAATGGAATTATCTAGAAATGAACTGAACTTAGTTGGAAGGGCTTGGAGTGAAGTAATCTGTATAAATACCTGGCTAAGTATCTATAGCTGAGTTCTACATAGTTGAGTTGTTAATATATCATCATCCATACAAATGCTCCCTGCTTTCTATAGTTGATCTGTGACGTAGACAAACACAGAATCGTACAACTCTTTACTGAATCATTACAATCGATCGTGAAACCATACCATAGTCTATCCAACAGATGGAGATATACTTGAAGTGGTGGTTGATAAATCTGATGAGCAGTTGAGATCTATCTTTAGGTGAGACGAGACTGTAGTAGAAATCAGAGGATAATTGTTAATTTTGTCAAGCAGAGAAGTTTGCAATAGCATGTGGGTGCTAAACACAGATAATTTCACTTGGTGAAGCAAGTAGGAAAATAGGAGAGTTGCTAATTTGTTGTGGAGTTGTCAATTACTCCTACTATGACACACAATTTTACCTTACCTCATTTCTATAATTAGAAAATCTAGGGGTCCATATTTGTTGCCAAGCGCGTGAAATTCAACCTTTCACTTGACAGTAGATTAGTATAAGGAAATGGTTAAACTGTCCTTTGCAGCTATTGATGGTGACATGAATTAATATGATGATTGCGATTGAGATAGATTTCTATATAGTTTATAATACATGATATGCTCAGGTTCATATACCTCGAGACAAGCAACCAGATTATGTTCCTCTAGATCTAGATTCATCAGAATAATTACTTACTCAGTAAAATTCTCGTAGTCTCAGTTGTGTGTTTAGGATCTTGATTAGGTTTCTAGTAACTAGTCAATGATGTTGTAACGGCTAAGAAGCCGGTATTTTCCTGTAGCCAGTAATGGCAAGTACTGGCGTATAACCACCAGGGGTTGGGCCGGCGCAATAGCCTTGGAGAACATACCAGAACCACTGTCGAAGGTACTAGATAAGATTCGACATGAACAAGACTGTAACTGAGACTTGGAGAAGCTACTAGAAACCATATTCTCAGAGTTGCAACTGGAATTATCTAGAAATGAACTGACCTTAGATGGAAGGGCTTGGAGTGTAGTAATCTGTATAAATACCTGGCTAAGTATCTGTAGCTTAGTTCTACATAGTTGAATTGTTAATATACCATCATCCATACAAATGCTCCCTGCTTTCTATAGTTGATCTGTGACAGATGTTTCTCATATCTGTTACGGTTTGACCGTTGTTTTAGCTTAGGAGGAAACCTAAGTGTTTAATTAGGAATAATTTCGATAAGACTGAAAGAGGAAGGATGGGCAAATAGAGATGAAATAGCACTACTAGCCAGGAGGTCTAAGCAACATCATAGCATAATGGCTCCTGATAAAACTTGGCTCAGTAGCAAGTATTAGGCCTAGGGGGAAGTTATCAGTCAGCAGATTCACGAAGCGGACCAAACGTTATAAGTACCTGTTAGTAGTAGCTTGGGATTTCTTTTCTCTTCATATAGTTTAATAAATCGATTTATTCATTACCAACTCGGTTTCCGTCACAATATCACTGAGACATAGTCATGGTTGATACAACAGGTACAAACGATGAATCGTGCCTGTACATGACGTTGTGATATAGTCATGATCGTCTGAACAATATCATCTCATGAATGAATCATGTCTCTACATGACATTTGTACCTGTGAGCAGTTATAACTTCTTGGGGTAGAAGCGTGATCTTGGCAGCAGATCAACTGTTAAAAGGTCATTATCTATCCATTCAGGTAGCTCTTCAAATTGAAGGACGGAGGCAAGCTGGCATGCAATGCCACCTCTGAAACTGCAAGTATTTATACCTCCTCTTTGTACCAGTAATCTGAAGATACATCTTACATCTCGCTGAACCTTTTCGAACATTTCCGTGCTCCAGCCGTCGAAATCTTCACAAAAAGCACCCAAAAGTTCATCTTCGAAACTTTTGGACGTCTAGTAACTTATAGCACACTCTACTTCGAACGTTGTGAGTTGCTTTGCAGTTGTGCTTTCTGCTTCTGTGATTAGCTGGCCCCAGTACTGAGCGTCTATTGCTTGAATCAGAATTTGAGACTGTAATCCAAGCTCTTCTAACACATGAAGTAGAGTCTCCCTCGGTATCATATCATCTTCATTATCTTGTATGCTCCCTTGAGTCTTTTGGAACCTACTTATGCTCTTAGGGTTTTCAAATGAGGATTCCACTCCTAGCTGTGGAATTGTTGGAATACCCAGCTGTGACATTGTGTGTACCGATTTTAAAATCAAACTTAAGTTGCTAGTATCGCTATGATATAGAGAAGAAAATTGTTTTGCGTGAGAGTTTTGAAGTGCGGTGATCTCGGCTACACTCTAAATAGAGATCGAGATAGCACTTAGTTGTTCTGCGTGGATGACGCTCTTCGTAGGTGATGAATGATCTTCTTTTGAAGACTGGAGACTCAATCTTCTACTAAAGTATATTAGCACAGCTCTTCGATGCTTAATAGCTCCAAGCTCGGGTGGAGAAGCAGGGTCGAGTGTCTCTTCGTTGTTAAGCCTAGTTGTCTGTGATTGTGTTGATTACAATCACTGATCAGTGTTGGATAGACTACGGTGTAGTTTCACGATCGATCGTAATGATTCAGTAAAGAGTTGTACGATTCTGTGTTGGTCTAAAATGTTCATAATTGTCTTCTCTACTACACTATACAGGATTCACAGCTATAATGATTTTATTCATTTATTTATTTCATTTTTTTTTCATTCATTGATCTAGTTTAACGTCCTATGCGGTATCTATATACAGAACCATGAAGACGGTAAGCCGCTTTGGTAAGGGAAAAAGCTTTCAACAAACAAAACCCGATGTCCTGCCACTTTGAACCGACCCGGCTTTATGCTGAGGACGTTCCTTTCAACCGCAATTTTATAAACTTTCCCCAGAATTCGTTAACTCCCCCTTCGATCAGACTAACGTTATGAGAAATTGAAAAGAGAAGGCACCTCCTCACTCGGCGTTGGTCTTCGAAGTGTTCGAAGAGTAGGTCCCGATGGCGGTGCTGCTGTCGAGGCAATTATTGGTGCCGCTGGGGCTTCGACTACCTTGCGTGGTCGTCCCGGCCCTCTTTTAAGTCCTTCAGCCTTTTTACTGGTGACCAAAGTGAATCCCTGATCATCAGTTGGTCTGGCTGTTTTTGTTGGCGCCATTGTTGGTTTTTCATTCCAAATTTCTGCCGTCCTCGATAACAGCTCCATCCGAGCCTTCTCCACACTACCCTTATAGACCTGGTAGGTCCGACACGCTGCTTTCTGCCATGAACGATGCTCCTTGCCGCAGTTGGCACAAGAAACCCTTTTCCTCGGACAGTCCCGAGTTTGGTGAGCACCAGTGCACTCACCGCACCTGGCTGCCTTTCCACACGACGCCTGCGTGTGTCCCCACTGGCTGCAGTTGTAACACTGCTTTGGCTGTGACCGTGGTGACCACACCTGCGCGGTGTAGAGCATGGCGTTCATCACAAGGCCGTTTCGAACCACTTCCGTCTGCATTGCCTCCGATGGGAGGCTTACCACTATTGATCCACGAGTGCGGCCATTTTTCTTTGACCGCTGATGTTCCTTTCCGTCGTGTAACCACCTTATACGACTTATCACTAAGCCTGGAATCCGTGCCTTTGTTGCCGTCTCTATCTCCCTGATGATAGCAAAATTATTGGCATCTCTGCCCCCTTCAATTCGTGTCCGCAATGGGACACCGTCTACCTCGACTGGAAAATCTTGCCGTAGAATTTTGAAGTCCGTTGGTTGTCGCATATTTAGCGCCACTTCTCTCTGGGACGCCGACTGGACGAACACCTCAGTGTCGTTGCTTCGCATTTGGCGAATCGCGTATGCGCCTTTAATGTGTTGTTGTGCCTTTGTTAGCAGCTCTTGTGGCTGCAAGTTTTGTGCGCCGTCAATTCTTATTCTGACCGCCGTTTTCGCCATTTGCGGAGCTACGACCGACGCGTAACTCCTTGCTGTCGGCGCGCCCGAAGCCGCTGCTGGAGCAGCTTTCCGAGCGGGATCCGCGAGGCTTTTCTTTACGACTTCCTCTAAAGCCATCATCCTCTCCTCGATAGGAGACTTCTTCTGGGTCATTTCTGTCCAGGCCCTTTTGTGCGCGTTGAAGGCCTTGACGGCCTCGTTCACGTCCTCCATAGAGGGTAGGTCCTCCTCATCCACCTCTCCCATAACGGTTAGTCTGACCTTTTTCAATAGTTTCCCTAAAATTTCAAGGTTCTTATCCTTTGGAGCTGTTTGCGCTCCGCTGCCGTTATTTGTTGGGGCCATTGTCGCATTTTGCGACGCGTCGAATCCGCTGGATTTACCCACACCAGCACCCACACCCGCCATGTTGGAGCACGGAAAGCGAAAAGATGAGAGGAGCGTAATAAAGATTTAAAAATAAGAATCACGATGTCAAATTGATGATACGGGCAGCGTGGAAGGCTGCGCAGCTTTCTGGCAAAAATGATGTTTTTGTTATTTATTTATTTATTTATTTATTTATTTATTTATTTATTTATTTATTTATTTATTTATTTATTTATTTAT